AGGAAAACGACTAACCACCAAACGATCGGACTAGACTACCAAAGACCACCAAACGACCACCAATCGATTCCAATTAATGAAAGTTCGATACGTTGAAGTTGTCCGGCCAACTTCATAGAGGTAACTGTAAGGCAACTTATAGCGTTTACCAAATTGGCAACACATGGTCAACCTGTATCAGATGCCAATAGGTCAACGTAAAGTTACCGAATTGCTATACCAAAATGCTTTACAGAAATGGCCGTCATTCAACAGATGTCTTATAGATGTCCAAAAGATTAACAAAATGGCATTTAAACGGCACAAATAAATGATGTCCAAAAGATATCTTATTTATGGAATATATAGGACAGGGATAGGTGAACAATAAATGATAAAAGTATATTGTTATCTGAAATATGTATGTACACAATATAAAGTTAATTGTGTTATCTAAAATTATGAGTACACTGCAGTTAACAATCAACTAGTATATTTTATAATATAAAGTTGATATAATTATAATTAATATAATATATATTATATCAACTTTATATTATAAAATATACTAGTTGATTGTTACCTGCGTGTATTAAATAATTTTAGATAATACAATTATTAACTTTATATTGTGTACATCCATATTTCAGATAACAATAAACTTTTATCATATAGTATATAATATAATTAATATAAATCCATATTTCACATTATTTACAATATAATGAAAGTATTATTCATAAGACTTGTACATAAAGAAACAGTAGATCTTACATAAGCAAAACACAGTCGTGTATGTAAACAACATTATCAAAAATCTACTTATCTATATATTAGGAACTTATACCTGTAATATTTATCTTATTGAAAAAAAAACATCTATACCTATATTGATCTTATTAAATGATACCAATATCTTGACACCTATATTTATCTTATTAAAAAAAAGCACGCGTAATGCATATAGACGCAGTACAGTGTAATATACATATCTACCAAGTACAATGATGTATCACTGCTGAAGATTTAGACGTTCTCAACGTTTATTCTCAGCTTTTTTCCGGTCGCCCCCACGGCGAAGCCACTCGGCAATTCGATCTTCGACAGCTTTGATTTTTGTCCCTTCAAATGTGTTACGTATGTACAACATCTGAAAAAGTAGACTATGAGACGTGGTAGCTTTTTCACGGCGAAGAACTTAACAAAAGTGTTATATGCCATGTACATACCAATTATGACATATCATGGAAACGTGAACTTGGAGATTTTTTATTTGTTCTCAGCTCCGAGGGTTCAAACGACTTGTTGAATTAAATCATCCGTCATAACTACTTCCATTGCATATTTAACGGCTTTTTGAACCGATTTTCCGCCGAATGTCTTGAATTTTTTTCATCTAGAAAATATCAACAATTTAAACAACTTAATTAAAATATTGACGAAACGATCCGATGTATCACCACAGTTTCACAGTACTCGCATACGTACAAATTGATCTCGCATTTGTCCATTGTCTTTGAGATCACGATCGAATCTTTGTAATTCGTTAATATCATTGAATGGCATCTGGGGCAGAAGTGCATAATGACGATCTATACACTCCACTAGGTTATCATTTCTTCGCACTACTTTCAGCAACTCATTTACTTTTTGTAGAATTAAATCCTCAAAACGCGCCTTTCGATCCTCTCTACAATCATCTGAAAAATAATATAATTAATAACCACTCGGCATGTCATATTGCTGAAATATTAAAACGTTCAGAAATGATGCAGAAATAAAAATACATATTATTTTAATACGTGCTTATTGTATATTATTTTAAACATTTCAGCTTTTATTTTCTGTCAGTAAGTGCCTAATGTCTCATCGGGAAACATAGCTTCGATTTTCGTAAATAAAACCCTCATTGTACAATTTTATGTACTCTATGAAAAATGCTTGTAGAAATTCAGCAGCGAATGAAGGCTTTTTACTTCCATGAAACGCTCCAATAACGAATGGTTCGACAAACTGAGTTCAAACAACTTTACATAATATGGGCCACAACTGACTCTTAGAACTCTTTGATAGAGGTAGTCCATCGATATTAATGTTAATTTGGAGAATCACAGAAATTTCTGTGTCAGCATTACGCTGCAGCAATACATTATAGTTTCTGTATCTCAACTGTTTCTTCAGTTCTCTCTAAGCCATAATGAACATATATAAGTACATACCTCCAGCGAGAGCCTGTATATCAATTCTGTTTGGCGTGTCACATAATGTCCTGGCATCAAACGAAAGCTCAGGATGACCAAATTTCTTTAACCCTCTCAAAAGATCGTTCACAAGGGATTGAGGTATTTTGTTTTGGATTGTCCAATGAGCAAGAAAATTTTTAAGATCAGTTATACTAGAGGGACGAGTGATAATCGATTGAGACTGATTCTCCATCTGGATATCTGTATTAGTCAGTGTCGGTCTTTCACTGATTAGTAAATTGAGATCTGCGTCATCAAAGCGTTCAAGATTATATTATCAAAGAAATCATCAATTTGATGACAAACGTCATTGGGAATATTAGAAGCACGAGCTGTTGGCGGTGAGCATGAAGGACTAGACGCAGCATTATTCGCTGCATTTGCTAAATAATCGAGATCCGCTTGCACAAGGGTGCGGATTCGTCGTCTTTGCTGTCTTCGCGAGAGCTCAAGGAACGATTTCCACCGTCTCAACAGAGGGTGACCTCCTTTTGGACACGTAACGATTCGACACCGCTTGATTAGACACGCACTATTGGACACGTAACTATTTAACACCGCACGATTCGACACCGCACGATTGGACACCGCATGATTTGACACCGCACAATTCGACGCGAACATTGCACGATTTGGCACCACACGATTCGACACCGCACTTTTTGACACGCACGATTCGACACAGCACGATTCGTCACCGCACGATTCGACACCGCACGATTCGATACGCACAATTCGACACCGCACGATTCGACACGCTCGATTCGACACCGCACGATTCGACACCGCACGATTAGAAGCGAGAGCTGATATAAAAAATTAGAGAGTAACAGAACTCGCAAAGAAAGATAATAAATGAAGAACTATTACGTTTTTTTAATTGTGTTTATTTTTAATTTTATATATCATCATATACATAGTGTCATCATATACATAGTGTCTCACGCGAGTTCCACGCTGCCTACCGGCGGAGGTGGATGCGGGAGGGGGGCCGAAGGCCCCATTGCACCCCCGCATGTGTGTGTGTGTGTGTATGCATATGACATCTACAATTTAATATAGTCAGGTGAAACTAATAAAATAATCTATTAATTTATCCTGACTATCCTGACTATATTAAATTGTAGATGTTATGCATACACACACACACACACACACGTGGGGGTGCGAGGGGGGCCTTCGGCCCCTCCTCCCTTGCACCCACCCCGCCGGTAGGCAGCGTGAAACTCGCTTTACAACTTAAAATACATGCTAAGTTGTAAAGCGAAATTATAAAGTACATGTTTGGGGGGGGGTGCAGGGGAGAAAAGCCCTCCTGCTCACGTGCACTTACGCATGTAAGCCCCCTTTTGCACCTCTTCATGCATGTGCTTTATAATTTTGCTTTACAATTCAGCATGTACTTTAAGTTATAGAGCGAGTTCCACGCTGCCTACCGGCGGAGGTGGATGCGGGAGGGGGGCCAAAAGCCCCCCTTGCACTCCCGCATGTGTGTGTGTGTATGCATATAACATCTACAATTTAATATAGTCAGGATAAACTAATAAAATAATCTATTAATTTATTCTGACTATCCTGACTATATTAAATTGTAGATGTTATGCACACACACACACACACACACGGAGGGGGGTGCGAGGGGGGCCTTCGGCCCCCCTCTCCCGCACCCACCCCGCCGGTAGACAGCGTGGAACTAGCTTTACAACTTAAAGTACATGCTAAGTTGTAAAGCGAAATTATAAAGTGCATGCATGGGGAGGGAAGTGCAGGGGAACAAAATCCCCCCTCCCACGCATGTACTTAAACGAGCTTGTAAAGCGCGTCATGAACCCATGTGGCACCTCGTTTCGCGTGGAAAGTATATGCGTGAACTATTTTGACATATAGGAAAATAATTTATATATATATGCAACGTAATTGGAAAAGTTGGAATCAGGCTTGCTTAAAGCTGCAAAGCTGCTTAGGAACGGTTTTTCCCAAATTTTAGCCAAATTAATTAACGAATCTCATTAAACTTATGCTCGTTTTAATCAGTAAGATCAGCCGCAAGCCGGTACAGAGCCGGATTTTCCATTTTGGCTCTTAAAAAATTTATAATAAATAAAATACGGACTCGCAGCTAAGCAATCCGACAGAGGTCGGTATTATAGTGTTACTCCTGTCGACCCTTAAAGTTGACAGGAATCAGGTTACGATTCCTGTCATACCGACGAGCTGTAGCGACTACGAACATCCCCTGTGGCCATATGCGCATGCTCAGTGGCCGCACGCGCATGCAAAAGTGCGCGAATTTGGAACGTATGTATACTTATATAATGCATATCACTTATTGTTAGCTTTCAATGATGAATATATCTTATATAATATATCAAAGTACATACGTGGGCGGGAGGGCTTTGCTCCCCTGCACCCCCCCCCCCCCATGCATGTACTTTATAATTTCGCTTTACAACTTATAGTCCAGGCAACGTAGGCGAAAAACATGCGTTATTTGGAAATTTGTTCTCGAAGAATGAATTCACTTGAAACCTTTTGGAAAGTGTTTTTCTACCCTTAAATGGAAAGGTTTACCTATTTATTTTATGTGCTCTTACCTATTTTTGAAAAAAAAAATGAAAAAAACTGATTTTTTAAAGAAAAATGTGAAAAAGTGATATAATTAAAAAAATGTTAAATGTATAATCATGAAATTCATAGGTAATGTGTTTTTAAGGTTGCTGAATACGAATCTGAAGTAAAATTTTCAACATTATAAAATGGCGACTCAAAAGGGCGGGTAAAAAGCACTTTTTTTTTTTTTTTTTTTTTTTTAATCGTTACATTTGTCATATTTATTCGTATTTATTGATTTTCATCTTCATTCAATTCAATGGGTTCATCTTCATAAATATCTGGACATATCGGTACGTTTAAGCAGCCCAGATTCCAGCAATTTTGCACACAGTTCCGTGCATTGAAGTCCAACTCTTCTACAACCGCAAGCTTTTCCGCAGCCAGTTCGACAGCCGCAAAATATCATTTTTAAAATACTGTCTGGAGCTGGAAGTTGTTTCATAATGATAGGTGTAAAATCATTATTCCAGCCCCATGCAGTTGCTGCCAATTCGTATTCTCCACTTTTGAACTTGAAAATATACTCTTTTGATATGCTGCATTGCAGCATCTTCAGAGGGAGGCAAAGTTTCAAGTTTAACGTTTTTATCGCGCTCACTCGCACGCTGCGGTTCTCCGCGCGCGAGCCGAGAAATCCTATACAGTTTATAGCATTTCCCGGGAAATTCTACCCCTGTTTTATATACAATTCTTTAAAATTTGGTCAATTATTTCCCGAAAAGTTGGAAAAATTTCGGATACCGTTTCAAAAAAAGATCGGTAACGGAAAATTATACACTTCATATCACTCTCCGGAAAATTCTACCCCTATTTCATATATAATTCTTTGAAATTTCGTCAATTATTTCTCAAAAAATTGAAGAAATTAGAAAAACTGGTTTTCAGAAGATCGGTAACAAAAAACTATACACCCTATAGTACTCCCCGGGAAATTCTACCCCTACTTCATATATAATACTTTCAAAATCGGTCCAATAGTTTCTAAGATTACCCCGGACAACAGTACAAACGACAGTAAATACGACTTTTTTTACTAAATTGCGTGTAGCCACTAAAATAAAAGTTCAAAAAAATATTTCCGATATACAGTCTTAAAGTTTAAGACCCAATCTACAACATCCCATAAGTTATTTTCTCAAAAAAAATTTTTTTTTTATTTTTTTGACTTTAAAAATAGAGAAATTTTCATATTTTCTAGTTCGACATTTATTTTTATATACTTTTTTGAAAAATACACCTGCTTAATATTTTGTTTTTCAAATAAAACATGTATCATCTTAAAGTACATATTTTCAGCTTTAAAAAACCCTGTTATTAAATTTCAATATCTATTTCCTAAGCAATAATATCTGCAGTCAAACTTGTCGATTAATTTTGAAATAACGAAATTTCAAGAGAACTATCAACTTTGAGGTCCCAACTTTAAAAAAATAAATTTTTGTAATTTTTTTCACTTATTGCATGTTATCAGCACATATTTTAAGAATATAATGCTTTAATTTAGAAGTAAAAATCTGCAAATTTAAATAAATGGCAATGATATTAGTAAAATAAGTCAAAAATTTTACATCGCCTCTCTTCAAATTCGATTTAAATATACTCAAAATGCTTTCTCAATTTTTCTAAACCACTTGAAAATTAGTAAATTACGTCTACTTTCGAATGCTTTTTGTAAAATTTGATTCTATCGATCCAATCAAAAGTTACAACTTTTTTTAAAAAGTGCGCGCGCGCCCGCGTACTCTGCAGGCGGCTTCACACGGGACGGCATCGACGCACTTTGAAGCGTTAATTAAAAAATTATTACTCCTACACATATTAATATTAAGAAAACTTTAGATATGTTTTTTTAGTAAAATTTTCTCCTCTTTCGATTGGCAGGCTTGCTTAGAGCTGCAAAGCTGCTTAAGAACGGCTTTTCCCAAATTTTAGCCTAATTAATTAACGAATCTCATTTCACTTATGCTTGTTTTAATCAGTAAGATCAGCCGCAAGCTGGTACAGAGCCGGATTTTCCATTTTGGCTCTTAAAAAATTTATAATAAATAAAATACGGACTCGCAGCTAAGCAACCCGACAGAGGTCGGTAGTGTTACTCCTGTCGACCCTTAACTTTCGGACAGATCATGCAGATCGGGCAGATCGGGCAAATGCGTTTTCTATTTCCAACTTTGACTATTTTTCTGTTGGCAGAAACTTGCACTCGTCGTAGTGCAACAGAATTGTGGAAGATATGTGTATGCATTTACATATAACAGAATAGTGCAAGAAATGCGGCAGATGCTTGCGCAAATCGCAGTGCAACATAATCGCGCCAGATTTGTAGCATCGCCTACTGCTACCCATACAGCACAAAATATTTTTAAAATATTTTTTAGGAAGATTAAAATAATTTACAAAAATATTTTTTATATTTATAGCACCGCAGTGGTGTTGGGTAAGCCTTACGTTGCATTGCTGGCGAAGATATTGTTGCGAATGTCATGATTTTGCTTCGCCGGAGGCCTACTTCTGCTTATATTAGATCCCAACTGAAATTTACTTACGAGTTAGTTTTACCATTATGCGCCGCCTAGCGGCATCGTTGCAAACTAGCACATACAGCAGAATTTAACAAGAATTACGACAGATGCTTGCGTAAGAAGTAGAGAATCAAAAATACAAATGATTTTGGCAGAATATATACCGTACATCTGATTTATCAATCAAACATTTTTCGAAATTTGTAACGCCAAAATGGACCGTATAGGCGTATAGCCTACATCTTACAGCACGAAACTATAACAGTTTCACAATCTCCAGTTAACTTACAGTAATTATTTCTATAAATATTTATATAACATATATTAAAAACAACTTTAATAATATTGATGATAATTATTTACACTTAATTTCAAAATATTTATTATAATCTTTTAGATACTTTTATTTTCCGGACATTATAATATTTTCAAAATATTTAAATCTTTTTTATAAATATTTTATAAATATTTTGTGCTGTCTGGGAGTTTAACGCGCTCAGCTGTTCTTTTTCTGACGGGCAGATGCTTGCAC